GAGAACTTGTGAAGGTCAGCAGATGGAGTTTCATCCTCTAGACTAAAAATCATGGAAAATGTGAGCACAACGTATAGGTGATTGTTTCAGAAATCTGGTCTAGGTCTGTGTGTGTCTAGTTCTCTACAGTGATGATTTTGTAGTCCCCAAGGTCCTGGTTTAGGGTCTTTTCAGTTATGTACTAATAATCCTGTCAGTACTGGAGTCTATTTTCCATACATCTTACCTCAGTTTGCTCTCTTGCATTGCTGACTTCAGTGGCTGCACGCTGGCAAATCACAATAAAATTGTCTCTGCTAGTAGTGGGATCTGTGCTAAAGTTTCACAGGGATACAACTCCTGCAACAGTCCTCAGTGCTTGAAAGAGTTCATGAGTAATAGCCAGGGCTCTGGAGTAGATGTAGGCCAGTATAAGAGTTGCTGCAAGACTTTGATACATTTAAGTTTTTGAGCAGAACTCATTTGCATGTAATATACTTTCCACCTTTCCTCTAAGGGCTTTGCAATGTCTCCTAAATATGAAATCGAGCTTTTTTTCCTGAAGGACTGGCAAGGGTTCATTCTGTATACTGAGACGCTGTGATTCAGAGGGCTAAATGACGTGCCTATCCTGTGATAGTGAGTGAGAACCTGGGAAGAATGGAGATACTGCTGTACTATTCATGTTTGGCAAAAGCTCAGTTCAGATTGAATCAAATTTTACTTTTCTGTGTTTTCTTTAAAAGAATAATAAGAAAAAAATCAGTATGTATAAAGATGCATTCTTTTCTGAAGAATGAAGCCTCCTGTTCTCAGACCCTGTGCAGTTGATGGAAGGAGAGGGTTAGAGATTATGCTATAGTGTCCCCAGTAGCAGCGAACTTGATTTGACATCCCAGAGACCTTTATTTCTTGATCTTGTTATTCAGTCACCCGCACACTTACTTGGATGTCAGACTGCTGTTCAGTATTATCCTGTGCTCAGAATAATTTGAGCATATCCCCTGAGCAAAATGCCCAAAGTAGCAGGTTCACCTGTTCCCCAGTATGTGAATGGCTGTCCGCTGCCCTTGGTTAGGCTATTGCACCTACCTAAGAAGCTGGATATTAATCTGAAAGCAAAACAAGGCAAACATCCCGTTTTTAAGCCTGTGACCCCGCCATAATCATAACCTTGCTGATCCTTGTTCTTTGGCTAAATGACTAAGGGAGTGATCAAGAATACCAGTTTGCAATGTATTGCTATGCTATGGTTTCCTGATCACAGTAGTCTCCTGGGAGGTTCAGATCTCCTAAACAAACTGAACATAGATCCTTCGGTTCCTTAGGTCAATGCTCAAGCTACTGAGACCAGCTTCTCTTGTGGAGGGTTTGTGAGTCTTGTCTGAGTTTCTTGGATGCTGCTCAGGAGGAGGGTAGACGAGGTAGAAGAGTTGAGTGATATACCCCCCTGGGAAGAAGGAGAGGTGGGGAAAGAAGATGTTTCTTGTTTTGTTCTTATTTCTCACAAATTAACTTCCTTGAAGTCAAGTAATTTTGCGCATGTCAGGAACTGGTGACTGATCTCCCTGTCTTTATTGTGATTGATAAGCTTTTCTGTCGTACTTTCTTCCCTTGTCCTGTTGAGGATGAGGCGTGATAAGTTAGCTTGGTGGGCATCTGGTGACCAGCCAAGGTAAACCCACCACTAAGTTGTAACTGTTAGACAGCCATAACTAGTTAGACTGGAACTGTGTCCAGTAAAGCATGCAGATCTGAAAACAGTCTGTGACAGTAAGGAATCCTGGTTGGTTGTTTCCTTTAAAGGTACTTCTGGAAGAGAAAACATTAGTGTTATTACTGATCTCTGACCACATTAGTGTTGCAATCCCAGTGCCACAGCTCCTGTAGAGATTGCTTCTTGCCAAAAGCACTTCACTGATGGGATTGGAAGGGATATCTTGCTCAGCACTATCCATCATCTCAGCTGTTTCTCCTTGATGATGGTGATGCCATTTCCTCCAGGCTAGCAACTGGATAGAATAGTGGCAAGAGGCAACTGCCTGTAGTCCTGACTGTATTATCTTTGTAGTGGGCTGTGAGTGTTTTATCAAGAGATGAATCAGTGGGTTATCTTAGTTTCACTAAATGGTAGTGGTTGAAAACAATTTCAACACAGGGAACATGTCCTTTCTCCCAGAGAAAAGGTACACATGCAGAACACACGTAGTTTCTGGGGACCCACAGGGCAAAGTTTTACTTTATATTTGCATTGTCATTTGCCTGGTAGGAACTGGCCTCAAGTTCAAATATCACACTAATAGCTTCTGATTTTGTCATGTTTCTACTAGAACCAGGAAGTGTCATCATCATGGCTTGACTTTGCGAACGAAGATTTGGGAAGGGCATTTACCCACGCTTACTACAAGCGCGCTGATGACTAAGAAGGCCAATGTGGGATAGGCAAATCCGGCTACAAAAAGCACAGCAGAAGGTCTCCTTGGGTGGAACAGGTGGGGCGCAATTCTTCCTGTGTTGTCTTTTCTCCTCGAGACTAGTTCTTCATGAACTCTCAAAGGAGTCAGCAGCATTATGTATGGTGTGCCTCCAAGTCTCCCGATTGGAGGCCAAGGTGGACCACTGATGGTAGTCAATATGGCCAAGGCTAAGGTATTGCTTCAGGGAGAAAAAAAAAAAAATAAAATCTGGATACACCTTTGGAGGCAGGTGTATGCCTTTGTCTCTTTGTTTTTAATTGACCGCAATAGAAGATGCCCGTTGGCCGCGGCTAGCCAACCAGGTGGAGGGGGAGATGAGCTTTGGTTAGGCCACCTTTTCTAGGCCTCTCTCCATATGGAGCAAGCAGTGCTGTCCTTGAAAAAGGCTGCTTGGTCATTCAGGATGCTGCCGAACAAGACTGTCATCTCCTGGGTCAGACTTGAGCGACCAATGTCCTGAACCGCCTGCATGCAGGGTTGGGTCTGCGACTTCCAGTGCACCTTATCACCTGCCGTTTCGTCCCTCGCCTGTCGCTGCAGGGCTTTGCAAGTGTGGGTAAACCCTTCGGGCCTGCGCAGTGGATTTATTTTAGGTGAGGCACAGCGTGCGCAGAACTGGCCTCACCCTTTACACCTGAGGTTTATCTGCCAGGGCCTAGCGAGCTTGGACGGTGACAGCAAAGTCCTCAGGTTGTAGGTTTAATTAGAGTATCCTTCTCTTAGATGGATGGCCTTACAGGGCTACATGAGCTCCATCTGCCCGGGTTTGAAGTTGGAGTTGTCCTTCTCCTAGGATGGTTGCCTGAAGGCTAGTGAGCCCATCCTGCCCATGGACACACTTTGTCTGACCCTTCATTTGAGAGCTGACTGGCATGGGAGACCCTACCGGAAGCATAAGCCACCACCAGCATAACTCCCAACTTCTCAAGGGCACGCAAGCTTTTTCCCCACGACAAGGGGGTGTCCGTGAAAGAGAGAACCAGGAAGTGTAAGCAGATTTTAATTTCCTTTTGTTAGTAAAAATAGTGTCTTCAATGTCTCATGTTGCTTAGTTGTGGTAAAAATCTGGTTACTTCTTGGTTTATTTCAGTTCCTTTCAGGAGGTTGGTTATTAAGTCTTTATGGGGTTAAAAATCAATCCAGATGTGTTTACACAGTATCTGCTTTAATGCAGTAGGCACAGCTGTTTTTTGGATGTATCCTGGCTAGATTCCAACATGAGCAGTCACATTTTCCCCATCTGAACTCCCTTGTAGTTTTAACTGTCAACAAGAACACAAGAGCCACAAGAACATTACTAAGCTTGCTATTTCCAAAAAACATACATTGAGGGCTCTGCTGCTGTGAGAAGAAATTTTAAGAATCAGATACTTATAAATTCATCTGGAGTGCTCATGGGGTTTTTGCCTAGTAGCTTCTGAGCTTTTTGGGTTGGATTTTGAGCCTTTTCTTGCCAGTGATACAAGGCTCTAAAAGCTTTAAATTGATTTGAAAGTGTAATTTATTCACATAAGGTCAAAGGTGCAGGTTTTGGTTTGTTCAAATATCATGAAGTTTAGGATATAACTGTGGCAGCTAGCAGGATGGCAGTAGCCAATGGCCAGTTGAGAGTATGGGTGGATAAAGAAAAAGCATGCATTAATCTAACGACTTTCTGATGGAAAAAAAGCACCCACAGCTTGGCCCAAGGCCTGAATTTATTTTTTTAAAGGAAAATTTAGGTCTAAAGGGGCAAGCCAATAATTTGTGTCCTTAATTAGCCATTAACAGTGTTCAATTATTGTCTCTCCTGACATGGGCAGCATAGGTAGCCATGAATCAGCACCACCATTAAGCATTCTTCTGGGCTGTGTTATATCTTTCAGCCTTTTGGGGTTCCCCTGCTTCTTGGTGGAGGTGCTGCTGTTTTCCTGTTAGGGTTTATCCTTGTTTATTGTGTCTAAGTTAGCTTGGGCAGGAAAGTATGGGATTGCTTTTGCATGTGGAAAATACGTGACTTTTATTCAAACTGTCCCCTGTGGGATGTGTAGCAGTAGGATTTGAGTACTGTGTATCTTTGGTGGCTAGTTGCCAGACAGGGATTGACCAGCAGGGATGAAAAGAGCTGTGGCGCTAGAATAAAATTGCTTCTGTGTCACCTGGTGCATTTATGAGGCTGCTAGAAACTTTCTCTTCTGTTTGGAGCTGTGTGTGTCTAGGCTTGTCAACAGTTGACAAGGATATTTTATCTTCTTATCATCTGAAGTAGTAGTGTGGCCAAGAGGAGAGTAGTGGAGATTTCATTGCACACATTGATGTCTTCCTTGGAAGATCCAGCACATGGAGTTACCTGAAGGTAGAAGCTTCATCTTTCCATTTGAAAGCAAGGTTTTGTTCATCATGGTTTCAAATGAACTACTGATGGAAAAAGGACTCTGAAACTGGAAGGCAAACAAAAACACCAACCCAAAGACTTTAAAACTATTCTCATAATCTTGGAAACCTCAGTCATAACATTAAGTAGAGTTGAAATGCTGGTAGCTGTTAACAATTGCTGGATAAGAATTATTTTTATAGATCAGTGGTCTCTGTATTTCAATATTTGTTTTATGCTAAGCAGAGGACAAAATCAGTAGGGTGGAATTATCTGTTTTCAAGATAAAACAACAGCAGCAACACGTAAGTTGTTATGCAATGATTCCTCTAGTATCCACATGAATAACAGCACAAGTTTTTCCTTGTAATGCATCCAACTAGATTCCTTTTCCCTTAACAGTTTTTCAATTGCTAAATTGTTCCTTTATGGGTTTTTTCTGAATTGCAGGACATTTGTTAGAGGAAAAAAAATAGAGAAACCTGAGCTGCTTTTGTCTTTGGTTAAATGCAGATCTGTGCTGGTATTTTCAGACCTTGGGGATCTGCTTAGCCCTGCCCAGAGCCAGATCTAGCTGTGAATTGTATTTATGTTCAAACTTTCTTTGGTCAAAAACGTATCTGGGAACTGTGATTCAGGCTTTAATTTTAAACTTAAGTTAAATAATTTTTCTTCTAGAGCTGGGAGCTCACTGAAGATGAACACTGAAGGGATCTGTGGATAACTGTCTCTCTTTGGATATGCTGCCTACAGCTAAATTGAAACTAGCTACAAAGGGCCCCACCCCTGCAGTAACTTAAGGCACAGTTTAGAGCTAGTGTGTGCACTCATACACAGACTACAGGAGCTAGAAAGAATCCCAAAGCATGCATGTGTGTGTGCACGCTTTCAACTCTGGCTTTCCCAAGCAAAACCGAAAACTCTTGTGAAGAAACAGAGGCTGAAGGGGTTAAATGAAATATAACTCTCTTTTTCCTGTACAGTAAGGATTAGTAACCAAACAGAAGCCGGAGAGAAGAGCACTTAAGAGCCACTGTTTGAACCAGAACATAAGAAAGTGGTTTTTCAAGATTTGCTGCAGAGTGGTGCAAGTATCTCCAAGTTTTGCGCTCACCTTTTACAGGTTCACACAGAAGGTAAGAGTCGACTTTGTATTCTGGGCTGCCTCCTGATCCCTCTCTTTGGATATCTATTATCGATCAGTCTTTTCAGCGCTGTTTGTCATTTTTAAACCATTTTTAATTCCCCACTCTTTTTTTTTTTTTTTTTTTTTGCTTCAGTTAAAAGAGTGCAGGAAAGAGGAGAGAGACCAGAGTCCTTATGACTGCAAAACTGTATTTCCTAGAAGTGAGGGATGAAGACATGCTGTGTATTCGGTGAACATTAATCCCTTTTACTTGCAGTTAATTGCACTGAGACTTAATGTAATCAGAACCGCTTTCCCTGACATCGTGCTTGTAGGGAACAGGGGAGTGGAAAGAACATTACCGGTTTGATAGGATGCTGGATGAGCCTGGGAGAATCAGACATAGGTGCTTTGGAATAAAATCCTGCCTAGAATAAAAGGGCACCAAGACTCTCATACCCCCTAACTATCACCCCTGTGAACAAAACTGCTTCTGTTTGTATGCTAGCAGGTGCTGAGGGGAGGGAGTGTCTCCTAATCAATCTTGCATTGCTTTCAGCTGTATGAGATGGGATCCTTTGGGAGGCCCAGCTAAATGATGCTGTCAGAGCCAACAGACCTGTTTGTGAGAGGGGAGGTTTGTAGGACCAGATCTCTCATCCCTGAGGAAGACTGATGTGTGAAACAGGCCAAGAAGGTAGCTCCAGGGACCTGTCCTTGGATGGAGATGGTAATGGGCTGGTAGCAGTATAGAGAGGTGTAGGTTTTCCTTATGCTCTGGTGTTCCTTGTGGATGGTCAGGTGGAGCTGTTGATTTAAAAACTGCATTTCAAAGCTTTGGTAAAGGTTTCCAGTGTTGTTCCCAAGACTAGGAATAACCTGTGTTAGTACAGAAGCTTAGGGAGATGGTATGTTTCTTTAGGTCTGACTGTAGAGACCTTCAAAAGGGTTTGTAAACACCTTTGCTTATTACTTTTGGAAGTGTCTTCATAAGGCTTGGAGTTTCTTTTATTGTACTTGTGAGGGCCCTTCAACAGCTTTTCTGTAAGCTGGCTTGTGATTTAGATGTTTTTCTCCTGGCTTCTTATGAGATGTAGCACCCTCTGCAATGGCAGAGCATTTCCCAGTGTGTTTAGGTAGAGCAGCCACGAAAAAACATTCTTCCTGAGATGCAGCGTGTTGATGAGCCAATGTGCTGCACAGCTCTGTGTGTGTGTGGACATTCAGGACAAACACTGCTGTTACAGGGAGCAAAAGGAGGTGTTTGTGATGTGGAACAAAGGTAGGTAGGACCATATGTCTTTGGCATGACACTAGCTTAAAGTAATATTTATGTTAGTAAATGAATTTAATAATAAATGCAAAAAAATAAAACAGAGCAAATTTGGTATCTTTTGAAGTTTTGCTTTTAGCATATTTTCCTGTCCTGTGTGAGATAATTGAGACTTCTTTTTCAGGCATATTCTCAGGTTCTCACACACTGTGGGGCATCCTGACACCTCAGGGGTGTTTGGTTTTAAAATAGCTTGTTTCATGAGTGTAAATGCTTGATGGCTTCACAGGAATTCTGGGACTGGGACAGTTCCTTTGTGGTATTTGCATATTCTGAATCCATTTGCTAGTAAACAGTCCACTCTAACCTTTGAGAAAAGGTGAGTGGTGACTGACGTGAGGTGATTTTCAAGCAATGATGTAGGGTTTTGTTTGCTGTTGTCTCTATGGATATGTACTAAAAAGAATATTAAGTATAAAACTAAATTGTGTTAAGTTTAAGGGAAAGTAGCAATCATTATGCTAAAGAGGAGCTGGAGAATGGATGATCTCAATCTTGCTGTTCAATGAATGTAACTTCTGATGTAGGTATTCATGTATCTTTGTTTTGGGGATGGGCTTTCTGGGATCCAGCTGCTTACCAGCTTGGTAAAAGAGAATGCTGGTAGAGCTCATCTAATCTAGTTGCTTCAGGGGTTACTTGTCTCAAAAATTAGGCACCAAGATTCAGCTGGAGTTTATGTGAATGGCTGTGCCCTGACTTGCCAAAAGGGTTTAGGAAACAGGAAAGGAGTTATGTTGTTGCAACTGGTTTTCTTGGTAGTACTTGAGTTTGAGTTTAAAGAACAATTTTTATTTTTAAATAACACAGATGTTCTGTTAAAATATGGAACCTGGGGGAAAAGCCCCTCTGATCTTGGTTGAGGGCTCCTTCTTCTGTATGCAGTGCTAAGTAATGCAAAATACTGTTTTGTGCCTCAGAACAGGTAGGGCTTAGGCTGCCAGAAGGCTCTCTTCAGGGGGAGCTTTATATGTTAAAAAAATGTTAACCAGTGATTAGTTCATGTATGTACCTTGTGACTCATCAATACACAGCAAACAAATAGCTTTTTTCATAAGAGGATGAGAGCTGCTGTTCTGTAGAAGAACAGCACCTAGAATGCATAGGATGCAATTACAGTAGCCCTCATGATTAATGCTATGGGCTCATCATTAGCTGAGAGAAGGGGGAAATATTCTCCTAGTGGCATATTGATGCTCAGTGAAGTCCAGAGGAAATAAGTTGCTTTGCTCTTTGGTCTGTGGAAAGGATTATACAAAACTGATGATAAACCCTTCGGTGTTCCCAGCATAGTCTTTGGGCCAAGACAGTGATGGATGATTGCTCTGATCCAATGCAGTCGTTTGCAGTTATGCCCATGGTATGATGGACTTGTCAAAAGAACTTACTTCACTGGAAATGATACTCTGCTGGATACAGCTTCACTATCTCATTTTTTAACACTCTTGGATCTGAAATGTGACTTGGTTTGCTCTGGTCTTGTCTTAGACAACAAAAATTAATGGTTACTAGATGTTTGAGAAGGGACTTTAGTATAAAAGGATTTGAGTGGGTACCTGCTCACATGCATGGTCTTGTGAGCAAAACACTAATTTATGCTTTCTTGCACAGTAACAAGCTCACCTTCTTGACATGTAGAGATGACAGAGAAAACAAGCACCATCCGTGGATTGCTTATTTCTCTGCCTAGCCCTTAAAGCAGTAACTGGAAGCTCCCGTTTGGGCATCTGTGGGAGAAAACAGCTTCAGAGCAAAGAACCAATTTATTTATAGATTACACTGTTGTCATTTTGCTGTGATCACACAGTCGAGCATGTGCTTCTTTTGAGAACTCTCCAGGCACTGCAGTGTGATCACACTCTCTTAAGATAATTTTTTTATGAAGTTAATTTTTAGTGACAGATAAAAGATGCTACAGCTGTATCCTTAGAGACTGCAGCCCAGACTCCACTAGCACACATTCTGTTTCCTAAATTTGTTAGTCAGAAGTTCGGGTTGGTTTGTTTGGTTTTCTTCTTTTCATTTCTTCTATCTCTCTTCACGTTTGTCATCTTTCCCTTGAAGAGGAATGTAAGTAAGCCCTCTGACTTCTCTGAGGGAATTCGTGCTTCATGCCACTGAAGGTCTGTCTGCATTGCAGTCAGTAAGGGTGATTCCTTAGGGAAGAGATGTACCCATACAAGTGTGGCATGCTTGGCATGTTTACTGAGATAAGTGTGTGTGTATATATATATATATATATATATATATATATAAAGGTGAGTTAGCATTAATAAAAAAAGAGTACCTTGGGTTCCACAAACAGTGTAGGGGCAACAACAGTCAAAGCCCACATGAGGTTCAGGGTAAATACTCTCATGTTTTCCTGTCCATGTTATTAGTCATAGAATCATAGAATAGTTAGGGTTGGAAAGGACCTTAAGATCATCTAGTTCCAAACCCCCTGGCCATGGGCAGGGACACCTCACACTAAACCATCTGACTGAAGGCCTCGTCCAGCCTGGCCTTGAACACTGCCAGGGATGGAGCATTCACAACCTCCCTGGGCAACCCATTCCAGTGCCTCACCACCCTAACAGGAAAGAATCACCTTTAAATAGTCACCTTTAAATAAATTTGTTTGGGAACACAGGTGTTCCCTATGCATACTGCAAGCACACTTGAACACGGTGCTAACATTTTTTTAAGTGAACAGAGATGTAGGTATTGCAAAGAGAGGCAGAAAAAGCCACATTGCTTTGAAATTGTCTTTTGACAATTTTTTACTTAAGACAATTTTGTTTTCTTTTTTAACCCCTTGCACAGTGCAGAAGATTGCCATGTTTATATTTAGGATGGACTGAAGACAAAATTGGAAGCGATTTTCCAGCTTTGAAATCCTTTCTTCTCCTAAAGAATTCTCTAAGATTTGAAGTGAAAGGGATTAGTCTCAGCTAGCTAATGTGTTTGTAAACAGCAGCAGTGCTCGGTGTTTTAGATCAAGCTAAATCACTTATATAAATGAAGCTTGAGCTGTGATGGGACAGTAGTAAATTGCTGTTAGCCATTCCTCTTCAACTATGTTAGTGTTTGGACTATTATATCCTTGTCATATATTTTCCATAGGCAGTGTGTGGCTTCTTATTGCAATTAACTGTCTAAATGAGTCTGTGTGCACTTGTCATTATCCCTACCTGCTCCCAGATTTAATTAACAGCTAAGCACAGTGAGAGTACCAAAATAGAAGGCAGAATCCTATCTTTGCTCCTTATAATAAATCTCTAGCTGCAGACCTAATAGTGGAAGGCTAGTTGCAGAAAATTGATTCTCAACTGATATTAAGTAGAGAGAAAATTGTCCTCATCAAATATTGTATTAGCTCCTGCAAGGGACTGCCATAGTGACTATGTTTACTTGAAACATGCTGCTTCGCTGACCTAAATCTTAAATACTTCATTGTGTATTTTGGAGAGGGGGAAAGAAGCAAGTCTGCCTCTTCCCCACCTCCCAACAGGGCATGGTGTGAGGTCTTACTAGAACTTCTGTGTGTTTCACGGTCTGCTCTTGCAGCTAATTATTTTCAGCTACAGTTCTGTGTGATTTCGGTGTCCAAATTAAAACCCTATAGCAGAGGCTGCTATAGTTTTCCCAGGTGCTGCTGAACTTGGTATTGCTGTAGAATTCCTCTGTAAAAACAT